GGACTTATAAAAGTTTAAATATAATTAAGTTTTTCATTTAAATGGTTTTTAAGTTGATGTTTTTATTCAATTTTTCTATTTCAATTGTTTTCCAATAAAAAGTGAAATAAAAAAATTTGGTTTAATAAATTGAATTATACTTCATGTTTAAAATAAGGCGTTAAAGTAAAAAAATTGCTGGTTTTTATTAGCATTTTTATACTGTTTGAAAAAAAAAACTAATAAAAAAGAATTAACTAATATTATATTAATTAATTATTAATAGAATTAATAATAATAATTAATTATTTTTTATTAGTTTTTTTTTCAAACAGTATAAAAATGCAAATAAAAGTCAGCAATTTTTTTTGTTCTAACATTTTGAAACCTTATTTTAAACATGAAGTTTTGATAAACAAAGATAAAAACCAGGCTGTTTTGTTAGAATGAAGAAAAAATACGAATTAACGTCTTTTTCCTTTTCAAAAGTAATTTAAATTCAAAAATGTTTTACGTTGAAAAAAAATCTCAGCGCGAAAGAGCATACCATCTTTTCATACATCTATTCAGAATAATAAATTTTGTGTGACATTCTTTATGATAAAAACATTACTTTTAAGAATTGCTAAAAAAAAATGCTAAACTAGAAAAAAAGTAATTAAACAACCGAAAAAAAAAAAAAATTGCAAAAAGATTTTTTTAAAGAAAAAACTAATCGCGAAAGTGTGAAAAGCAATCGCGATCGCGATACACTTAATACAAGCGCTGTAAGACTTTTTTATAAGTTCTGAACTATTTAAAACAATTACTTAATAACTTTTTTTTAACGAAGCCTTTCAACCGAATTCTATTATATTGTTTTTGCAAAACTAATTAAAAAAACTTGATTAAAACTTAACTATTTAATCACGACTTTTTTTTACTTGAAAATCGAAGTAGATATTCTAAAGTTGTTGTGACGTACTAACGTGATTTTTAACGACTAACAATCGAGTTTCAATGGTAAAAAAATAATATCAAAATGGAGTGAAAAAGAAAAAAAACTTACATATTTTTTTTTTTTAATGCTCTTTCATGTGAGATCATATGTTAGGAGCACTTACGGATCCCTTTAAGTAGCAAATCACTATATTGGTCTATAAAATGAAAATTGTACATGTATCGATAAAATAATTATAACAAAAATTGTTGGTATTACATTGTAGAACACTCATGTAATTGTTATTTTAAAAATAGTGACCGAATTTCAAAGTAATCGGTAACGCTTTGAGGTATAAGTAGCAAAAAACTGACAAAACTTTAACAAAAACTCCAATAAATCCTACACCAGTCATCCAATCAACCAGAGTTTTGGTGTGACTATTGGCTACATTTGCACCAATTTTTACCAAACTATATTGAGTGGTTCAAATTCTATAAGTGTTTTTATTGGAGCACTATGAAGTCAAAATTTGACTTAATTTGAACATTCAAATTAAATTATTTTCTGCAGACAAAATTAAATGATTTGAAAATTTGCATCACACACCTTGTTGTGTACGCTCACTTTCCCTATAAGTGGCATTCTTGGGACAGCTAGGTAGGCATTATAAGGATCCGTGCTAACCATGTTTCCGGATCCGTAAAATACAGGTCTTTACCAATTTACATATCTATTTCTAGCCGAAAATTTCTATACCTATTCCTTATTTACTTCAATACTTTTTAGTAATATTAAAATATATAAAACTGGTACAGATATATCATTTTCACGTATAACAGATGTATTTATTACAATAGTAATAAATAAATAGTTTTGGGGCCATCCATAAAGGACGTCATCATTTTTTAGCCAATTTTCAACCTTATCCCCTTTTGTCACCAGGTGTCCTTTTTCCCTATACCCCCTTGAAAAAGACGTCATAAAATCTTGCCTACTTTTATTTTAAACCCCCAAAAATTACATCATCTCGCAATGATGTTTCAATCTGCTGCTACACCTTTGAAAAATAAAATAAAAAATATTCTCATACATTATCTTCTTAAAAACACATGTTTACGTAGTTTTTCATGTTAATTAAACTAAAATAAAAAATCTATAAAGTGACGTTTTTTCTGACAAATTTCCCCCCCCCCTCCCTTGTTCTTTATTGTCCTTTTTATCTCGAACCCCTCCCTATTTGGATGACGTCCTTTATGGATGGCCCCTTTTGTCTTTATTAAATTGTATCCCATAAAAATGTATTTCATATATCTTTAATAGATAGAGTTTTTATAAAAAATTGAAATAAAATCTTATTTCTATGACTAACATTTTTAAAGGTCTAAGAAGCAGATGACATAACTTTAGAAATCAGAAATTATCGAGAGAGGAGCAAATCTAAAGTTGAAGTTTCAAATTTTCCACTCGGAAGTGACAATATATTTTGTGTTTTTTTAATCTTGTCAATTTTTTTAAATATAACATAACTACAAAAAATCAAAACAAAATAGCTCGAGCAAAAAAGACTAAATTATTAGACTATAAAATTATTAAAGCTATAAAATATATTAAATTATTCATTATGCTATTATTAGAAAAGTTTACTTATACTACATACGATCCTATAAATAAAATAATCGAATAAAACGTTATATTGAAAAAATTTCAATAGATTTTTTAAATTTTATAAACAATATATATAAACAAATAGTATATATCATATATTCAAATACATATATACATATCATATATACATATCATATATACATATACATAAACATATTATGTTTATATATACATTGTTTATATAGAGATGGTCAAGCGCAAAAAAGTTTTAAAAAAAATTAGTTTATATTAAAATTAAAAATTGATTTATATAGCGTTTCTTTGCAAAAACCTATTTTTATAGCACTTAAAAATTTTATTATAATAAAATTTTTAAGTGCTATAAACAAATTTTGAACTATATTCACTGAAATCAAAATTTTCACTGTAATAAAATTTTTAAGCAATTATTTTAAATTTTTTTGGTTTAGTGACTTTTGTTAAGAGCTTTTAAATTTTGCGTCAAATTATCTCATTTTAAATATTCATTGAATCATCCATACTGCAGGCATTTTTCAAAACGCTTCAAGGTTAAATATATCATTTTTGAATTTTTTACAAAATAAGCTAAATTATATGTCAACAAACATTATTGAATACATATTTTCAAATAGTTCTGAAAAAATTCATTAAAATTATTCGTTTCAAAAAACGTTTAACAAAGAGTTAATTTTAAAAAAAAATTTTTAATTGTGCTTTTCTCAAAATACATAATAAGCATATAAAGGCCTTTTGAAAAACAGCTGCAGCATATATTTATAGTAAAAAAATAAATGTAGCATAAAAAGCTTTTCATTGTGAAAAGAAAGTTTTACATTTTTTTCTAGCTACAGGCTTTTTTTTTTTGCCTTCACAGCAGCACCTTCTTGAGTAACAGGACTTTCTTACTTTATTAAGTTTCAGACAACTTTTTTTCAGACCATCAGCAGCTTATTAGGATTAATTACCTGAGCACATTAATAACATAAGTGTCTCAATCATCATACATACGCAACAAATTTTTTCTCCCGGAGATATTTTTTTGTTTGTTGATGTTTTATGAAATTTTATCTTTCTTAAAATCTTTTTCTCTTGTGAAAGTGTATAATATTGTTACATTACATATGTTTGTATATAATCTTTATAAAACTTCAAAATTGTTTTGTATTTTAAAATAATCGCAAAAAAAGAAAAAAAAAAAGCCACCATTGGTAGGAATCGAACTTTGGCTTACTTGTTCAGAAGCTCGGCACCTAATCCACTCAGCCACACTGGCACATACTCAAGCAATTATTTTTAAAAGAATGTAATGATTTTCTTTAAGGAAAAAATTTTATAGATTAAAATTAAGGAGAGCTTGACGCAATGCAATTTTCAAGTGAAAATCAAACTGTAAAACTTGATAAATGTTTCAGTTTGTTTTAACATTACTTAATTTAAAGTTTACGTATGTTAGATATTTGGATACGCATTCGTTCACGTTTTCTTATAAAACAAAGTGCTGCGACTCTTTCTCGCCATTACCTTGCTTGCAATGGCTGCCAAGGGTACCGTGTCAAACAGGCTCAAAAGCGCACTACTATTAAGTTCAGCAATAATATATAATAGATAATAGATTTAGTGATTTCGAAAACATGAAAGACTTTCAATTTATATGCTACTCCAACAAAAACATTTAAAATGCTCCAATACACTTGCAAATAGAGTTAAAAGATTTAAAAAAATTCACTCCTAAAATCTAATTTGAAGAGGTGGAGTTGTGCAATTCCTACAAAAAATACTTTGAAGAAGACCATTTTCTACAGCTTTGAAAACTAATAAAAAGATTGATTTGTGTGTTTGGCAGTATTTATAAATGCACACACTTCTTTTCAATGATGAAAGTTAATAAATGAAAACATTGTACAAAGCTGACAATAATTTAGAAAATTTCTTTACGCTTTGGTATCAGTGAAATTAATCCAAACATTGATGAATTAGTTTTCCAAATTCAAGCTTAAGCGTCTCACTAATTTCAGTGTCGCTATTTAATTTAGTTTGTAATAATTCCAAATTTCACAATTTAATAATGTTGTACCTATTTTTTTCATTTAATTTTGTTATTTGAATAAATTGTATTATAATAACAATGCTATTCTATTTCATGTCTTGATATCAATTGTTAAAAATTATTACTTTAAAACACTACTTTAAAATTTTTAAATGTAGCCCACAAACGTATTTTGCACACTAAAGTTTGGCTCACAACATGCCAAAGGTTCTTCTACCTGTTCTAGAACCATTTTTAAAGAACTTTCATATATTCTTATAGCATTTATTTGTTAAATTATTAATCAGTAAGAGCAAAAAAAAATTATTAAAAGTTTAAAGAATGAGTAAAAAATAAAAAATATATAGTTATAAATATAAGCATAACTTTTTGTTGTTATTATAATTCATAAAAATATAATAAAAATAATACACAAAACACCTTTACCTTTTTGTAATAGTAATTTGAACTAATTTTGACCAAAGCATCCAATGTCTTTTTCATATCTTCAGCCTATATCAAACATATTTAAATTATTTTAAAAGAAAAGTTTAAAAATAAATTTAATAACTCTATAATAACTTAATAACTTCATCAGAACTTCTTTAACTACTAACTAGTGCTACCTATCAATAAAACTAATGCTACCTATCATAAAAAAGTGAAAAATTTAATTTGAAAATTTTTTTTCGAGTCAGGAAAATATAATGATGGAACAGTGGCATAAACTTAGTAGATAAAGCAGGTTCAACTAAATTATTAGAGTTTCAATTTTTTGAGATATCCTGGTTTGATCAGTGCAATTGACCAATATGGATAACGTGGACTTAACCATCTAATCATCATTCTCTTTACATTTTAGAAACCATATTGAGGCAGTTCGTTGTATTTGCAAAACAAATGTTCACGCATACAATTGACAACCTGAACAATTAATTTATTGAGGTCAACTATTAGAGCAAAATCATCATCATCATCAGATACCCTTATCATCTTTATGAAGAAGAAGGTACAAATTGATGGAAATTTCTGGTCCCAGTAACAGTGGTTGCTATCAAAAACTTATCATTAAGTTTGTTTTGTACAAGCTCCATTTTATTTTTCAATGACATAAACAAACATGCTATTACTGATTGACTTTTGACAGTATTCAACATTGCTTCAGCAGATAATATTTGATCTGTTGTTGAAGTCTACAAGCTAGCAATAATAACAAATCCATTTTACAGCACCACTTACTCCATTACATGGTCATTTCTTGTTGTAAAGAAACTCCAAATGCAACAAAAAGGAAAATTCTTTTAAAAACAAAAATGTTTGCAGTTTTTATTGCTGTTTTGCCCTTAGAAAAATAATCTTTGTAATTGTGAAATTATTAGTTTTATTATTATAATTATTGACTAATGATTGCTTAACCTCATTGATAAATTTGACACATTAGTTCAAATCATCTAAAATCATGCAAAAAAGGAGATGTCTCATTCATGTTATAAATGACAATTGTAGTTGTGTTTCTAGTCTAGTCTTGTACTACAAAAAATGATCATCTACAAAGTCTGCCAACACAATTTCAAGAGTAATTATCTCTTAGAGTTGCTTTAATAATAATTTTATAAATTTTATCAAACTTTTCACGCAGGTGCTATATGAATTCAATTAACAGGTTTGTTGTTAATAGTTCAGCTCTATCTGTTGTTGTCTCACTCAATCTGCCAAGCTTGAGTCACTGTCCCATCATCATAAGATTGCACTTATTTCTCTTCTCTATAAATAATTTCATGGTTGCTGCACAAACACGCAACCATCTCTAGCATCATCAACCAAAACTCACTCCCACTTGACTAGTCATTCAGCAACCATTTTACTGTATTTGTCCCTTCATGTTACAAAAACTTTTAATTGTTATTTTCCTTGTACATCAACGACTTTGAACTCTTTCCCATCTTCATATTTTCCTGACTTATACAACCTCCAACTTTTCAAGTCCTGTGTCAACCGTTTCCTTGCTCTTTAACGAGATTCTTTGTTTTATAATGACTCTAATAGTTAATACCTAAAATCAATTTAAAACCTTTTACTAGTTTTGGTTATTTTTACTAATTTGGTTGTAGTTAAATTGTAAAATAACTTGGTTTTTTTACAGACACTTATGTGTAGTTTTAAATTGTTTAACAGTTATAAAAATAATATATAAACCATAGAAGTGGATATTATAAATACATTAAAAATGCAGCTAAAAAACAAAGAACTACCATAAAAAAAGTATAAATATTTTAACTTAAAAAATCATTTATGCAATAGTATTGTGTTAGTATTGCTGCATTAGTTAGAGTTTTCTGATTCTTAGTCACCCAGACCCAGACCATCTTCATCTGATGATTCATAATTTATCTTTTTATCTGCATTTTTTGCGTCTGGATGTTTTGCTTTATCAGGACACTTTCAACAATACTTATCATTTGAGATCCATTTTTAGACAATGTATAGCAAAAGGAACATATAACTCTTTCCAACTTGCTAATTTGGTTTATAGGTTAAATAAATAGGCAACTAAGGTTGTTTTTTTTCCCCTGTATTTTTTTTTTAAAACATTCACTTTCAACAGCTGCAAGCAACCACTATTAAAGTTGAAAGCTACTGTAAAAGAAAAGATCAAGTTAATAAAGCAAGACAATGATTAACAGACAACTTAAAAGATGCCAAATTTAAAAAATCAGGAAAACAAGATAAAGGGAGAGGATTCCAAAAAACTGATGTTTAAGGAACAAAACAAAATGAAAAAGAATTTTCAGAGCACTAAGGAGCAGTCACAGTAAAAGGATGAGCCTTAATTGAATGACGAGTAACATGAGAATGAATTTTAGTAAACGGCATAAGAGACACTAGCTCTTTAGTGAAGCGCCCTTTATAGTTTTTATAGAAAAGAGAAAGAGAAGCAACATTACAGCGATGTACCAATGTTTGAAAGTTGGCTGCAATAGCAGGTCCAACTATGTTTACAATGCCTTTGTGCACCTTGTCTAAAAGAGAAGAGGCATCATCCAAGATTCGCTTCAAATATCGCAACAGTATTCCAAACAAGGGCAGATTAAAGATTTATAGAGATAAAGAATAGAAAAAGGGTTAAAAAATTAGCAAGCACGATAAAGAGGTGCAACCTAAGCAGATGCTAATTTTGCAATGGATTTGTTATATGGTTTCCAAAAAAAAATCAGAATTTTTAAAATTAGCGGTAACAAACGCTGCTTTTCTGTGTCAAGAGCCTAATTTTTGAGATAAAATACAAGATTTCATGACCTGAGAATGGTGGCCTTTGGTGCTAGACAAAACCTTTTTACAATGGTTTCTAACAGTAATAAACAGACATCTGTTTTCTGGAGAATTATTTTGCTGATAGATATGAAAGTAATGGTTACAATTGAAAATTGCAGCAGCACAATGAGAGGAAAACCATGTGAGGCTTGACTTTGAATCATTCAGAGGGAATAAAAGATTCCATGCCAGCCTGAATCCAAGATATTATCTAAGAAACACATTTGTCAGCAGGAAGAAGAAAGATTTCTACCCAAGGGCCATTACGAAGAAAACTACAGAAAGAGTCCCAGTCAGCTTTAAGGTAGTTGTAAGAGGTAGGATAATAGAGGGATTCTGACGATGAAGAAGAATGAGATAATAGTTTTAGAGAGATAAAACCGCAATCAGAAGCACCTAAGGGTGAATGTGGAGAAACTGAGCACTGGCTAGGATCAGAACCAAGACATAGGTCAAGTAAAGAAGGTAAATGATTCAGATTGTCTGGAAAGTGAGTTGAAAAGTTGACTATTTGTAAATCAGAACACTATCTAATAGTCCAAATAATTGCCTCATTAATAAATAAATCCTAAGCCATAACAAAAGGTTCCAAATGTGGACTCAACAATGCACACCAAGGGTACGAACAGGGACACCATCCATGCGCAACATGTCACTATTAGTACTTTGATACTTTAAAGCTGTTGACGGAATCAGCCTATATGAAAGCTACCAAAGAGTTCTTGAAACCTGACCTGACCAGCCGGCCTCAGGACTATTAAACTGAGTTTTAGAGCAGTACTTTCATTAGGAGATAATAGAATGAGTTGCCTTGCCATAAAAACAGAGACATATCAAAATCCATGCAATGAGTCAAGAAGATTCAACATTCAACATCCTAAACTGGAAACAATTAAAAATACAACTATGCTAGCATAAAAAAAGAAAAAGAGGTACAAAGCTGGGCAACATATAGAATCTGTTTATCTACTAAATCTTTAGCTAGAAGGTCTTCTACAAGACAGTAGTCAGATTTAATGTCTGCCCAAGCTGAGTATTTTTATCAAGACACCATATCTAGCCTTGACTCAAACAACAGCACCAAAGCAGGAGGTGTGTTAAGTCAGAGTTGGCTTCTCCTAATAATTAATATTTTTAAAAAATTAAACATTAAAAAAATGGTTAAAAAATGGTAACACTTTACATACATTAAAATCCTCTTGTTTGTATACTCCTCTATAATTATGTCTTAAATATTCACCAAAATCTCGACCTGATCTTGAAGCATCAATCGGCCATTGGTCGCAAACCCTCATAAATTCTTTATAAAGTAAGCGATAAGCTTCTTTACTTGCCATTGAATAGAAAATCTATTTACGATGTTTGTACTACTTAATCATCTGGAATAAATATGCAGTTAATATGATACAAAAGGGATATTTTTTTTTAGAGTGATGCTCTGACAACTATATCATAGTTAGATGGTGTAAACACAAGAGAAACAACCTCACATTTGCATTTAAACTAAGTTTATGTTTCTATGGAACAAAAACATATTATTATATACTTTTTTTAAAAAAAGGACCTAAGCCAATCATTAGTCATTCTGTGACAAAGGAACCAAGCCATTTATTTGTTATTCATTATTGAGATCTACACTGTTATGTCATTTTTAGTCTAAACTAACTTTTTTTAAGTTCTATTGCGTTTTACACCATACAGTTATCAGAATATTTTTTTAAAAATTTTAAAATCCTAACTTAACAAGCCTAACAATCCTAACCTAAAAACCCTGACTCATGCATTGATTAGGAGCCCTACTTCTATCCCCCAACGCTATAAATTAGAATAAAATAGAAATAAACTTATGGAAATTAAACAATGTTTTTTTTTTTTTTTTAAATAACTCTATTAAACAAATTTTTTTGAGTTTATTTATTATAAAAAAGCATGAGCAAGAAACTAAATTATTTAGTTTCTTGCTCATGCTTTTTTATAATAAATAAACTCAAAAAAATTTGTTTAATAGAGTTATTTAAAAAAAAAAAAAAACATTGTTTAATTTCCATAAGTTTATTTCTATTTTATTCTAATTTATAGCGTTATTAAGAGCAAGAAACTAAATAATTTAGTTTCTTGCTCTTTTTGCATAATTTAGTAAATTATGAAAAAATATTAAACAATTTTTGCATTTTTAAATCACAAATATTTTACGAAAGAATGTATTCTTTTCAGCCAAATGTCATTTTTTCAATTTTGCCAGCAAATTCTGAGCAGTTAATTTGACCCTTTATAATCTTAACTAATAAAATAGCTCGTTGTAAAATGGGATTTCCCTTCTGCCAAATATCATTGGCAATCAATAATACTCACTGTGCGGAAAATTTTTCTTAAAGTCTATTAATATAAATAATGCTTGTTATAATAATAATTAATGTTACTTTAATAATAGTGTTTATATAAGACCCCGTTTGGCGTGACGCAATTTTTGACCACTTTTAACCCCTCTTCACAACATCGTAACTCTTTAGAAACGAATACCGAGCAAAAAGTCGCCACAAAACCATTAATCCTCCTCGCCCAACCCTCTAGTGCGCAACGTAATTTATGGACTTCCATAACTCATACAAATCCAAAAATTTTATTAAAAGGTTCCAATAACTTTTATAAATTGTTCCAACAATTTTAATAAAATGTTGAAAAAAATGTGGTTGTTTTCGAATTTAGAAAATAATGTCAACCCCTCGTTCGTCACATTCAACAGACTGAGTTCCAAGAAATCTTTTCCTATGAGCAACATATTATTTCTCCAAATTTTGTCAAACAGTTCATTTTTATCGAACGTAAATTCAATTGATTTTTAAAAAAAAGTAACAATAGTTTTAGTCTATTCCAACTTTACAGTTGATTAAGGACCATGGTTACGGTTAGATTTAGTCCATTTAACTTTACGGTTAAGTAAAGAACAAAAATTTCAATCTGATTAAAGTGAACTTGTTAAGTGCTGTAAACTTCCTATTTAAATGCTCTAAACTTCCTGGTTAAAGTGAACTTCTGGGTTAAATGCTATTAACTTCCAGGTTAAAAACTCTGAACTTCCTGGTAAAAATTCTGATAAAAGTCTTCTTTGATTCAATTTTTTCAAACTTTGTTTACCTTAACAAACAAAATTGAAAAAAAAAAAAAAAAAAAAAAAAATTAAACTGTTCATTCATTTACATACTTCAAGCAGACATTGTAAAAAACGTCTACTTCATTCAGAAATTTTTCACTTTCTTTGGTAATTTCCAAATGTTTTCTACCATGAAAAGTAGATACTTTTTTTTTTCTCGATTTATCTGGTCTTTCAAATTTTTCATTACTACGGCAACTTGAGCAGCAAAAATATTGACTGTGAATTAAAAATAGACTATGAATACACTTTTTATTCTACCACCAGTAATTTAGTGAATCTACCAATGTTAATGTTCAAAATTTTCAAAAAAATTGAATACCTAAAATTTTATTTTTGCGTATTTTTTTTTTTTTTTTTAAATATTTAACCTCAGGAAACTTCTAAAAATGGAAAAATCTAGAAAGGTATCAAGATAAAAATAAAAATTAATTTTCTGGGATGGTCTAATACATATTGGCTTGTTCACCATGATGCCATGAATGCAATGCAAAAATATTATACTGTAACTCAGCAGCTGTTAATGGTTTAATAATTATTTTTTTTTGAAGAGGATAATGTTTTTTACCTTCAAAAAAAAATTATTGAATTAATAACAAAATTTACTACGCGGGAAAATGCAGTTCTTTTTAGTTTCCCGATAGTTTACATTATTGGACTTCCGCCCTTTTAACATTCACCAATTCAATTGGAGTTCGCCAGCATCTCTTAGAGTATTTTGTATTGTCGTTCTTTTTTTGTTTGGAATTTTAAACTAACCTCACAAAGATTTTTAACATTCCTTGAAAAATGGTTTTTCTGCAGACAACACACAATGAGGTACATAGCTCTATTGTGTGTCTTCTCACAGAAAAAAGAGAAAACAAAAAACAAAAAAAAAAAATTTACAAACAGTATAGCATAACTTTATGTAGGTAGCTCTCAATTAAGTTAAAAGTTTTTAAGTTTGTAATAATCAATAGCATAAATTTATAAACCAGTTAATTTATAATTAACTGTTAATATAAAGGTTAATATAAATTATAAGTAAGAACCAAATGGCCTTAATTACAAATTAACAAGTTAATTTCTAATTAAGGCCATTCGTACACATTTGGCGCGTAAGCATGCATTTAAGAGTAGTTTTGCGCGTTGGGGTTTTGTACGCGTTTTTAGAAAACTTAAGCATGGTTCTAAAAATTAAATGAAAATCTCTTAAAAAAAGTTGTTTTGCGTAAAATGGAAACAATAGTTGTAAACGAGGCTACACCTGCGAGGAAGCCGGCGCAGAATATCAAAACTATTAGGATTCATAAAGGTTGGTCTTATTTCCAGCTATAGAAAGATTATATTTTTTTCTTCCTAAAAAATTGTCCGAAAACGGTGTTTGACTATTTTATCCATTTCGTTATTGAAAATAACGAAATGGATAAAATATCTTAAAAAGTCTTCTGTTATTCTATGGAGTTGCAAACTTTGAAAATATAAAAAATATTATTTTGACAGAGTGGCTTTTTTTTTTTTTATAAAAAAAAAAAATCAAATATTACATCAATATTTTCAGCTTTTGGTTCTGACATGATATTAAGCTGTTGAATTACATTATAATATTTTTGCAGTGCATTCATGGCATCATGATGAACAAACCAATATGTATCAGACTGTCCCAGAAAATTAATTTTTATTTTTATCTTGATACCTTTCTATATTTTTTTAATTTTTTGAAGTTTGATGAGGCTAAATATTAAAAAAAAAATACGCAAAAATAAAATTTTAGGTATTCAATTTTTCTGAAAATTTGGAACTCTAACATTGGTAGATTCATTGAATTACTGGTGGTAGAATAAAAAGTGTATTCAGAGGAGCAGCAAACTCTTTGGCATATCTGTGAAGAGGTTTGAAGAAAAGATCCTGATAAGGTTGGCTTCGTTCCCAGAAAATAATTCTCGAAAAGAAGGCGAAAGACATTCAGTTTTTTAGATCAGAAAGAACCAAAAAATGTATGTTACGACAGTCAACTCAGCGGTTAGGTACTTTGGTACAAAATTAGTTAATAACGAATGCTGCTTCTAGTTTGCTTTTAATTTTTTTTTTCTGTTTCTATGCTAACAGTATCTTAGAATAAAGAGTATCGTGAGCATATTATTAAAAGACAAAGTATTATTTTGTTTTTAACTTAATTGATTGAAATTAACATGTATGCCATAAAATTTGAGACTGGCTTTAAACTTGAATAAAAACTTAAATAAACACGATAAAAATTTTTTTTTTGGTATGTTCTTAGAATTAAATATGCAGAATAGGAAAATAAAAATAAATTTATCACAAGGCTCCATATTTTCATATTTGATCAAGTATGGTATTTGGTACCAGCTTTTGTACAGCATTTAGGTCAAGTCTACTGACACAATAACGAATCCGACGCTCATTTTTTGGGATTTTTGGGCAATGCTTAAGCGGGATGTGTACAAGAATGGATGGTCTACAAATAATATATAGAATCTTGTACACATCCCGCTTAAGCATTGCCCCAAAATACTCTATAGCACGAGCTTCTGGCAAGTTTGCTGGATTGTCTTTTTTCTAAACAAATGGTATCTTCTGGGTTTTTAACCATTTTGTTACCGAATTAGCATAGCGAGATGTTGCTAAATCGGGCCAAAAGATATACTTGATGTCTCGATAATATTTATTACTAAAAGGTTGCAAGCGCTTTTGTAAACACTCTTTTAAATAGATCTCTTGTTTTACCGCTTGGCCAGAAGGAACAATGTTAATAGATGTGACCCCTCAAGGGGAGATCCTAAAAATTACTTGTATGCCATCCATACAAGTAATTTTTTTTTCAAATTTTTCAACATCATAATACTTAACAATGTCTGGTGTCAATTTTTAACCATTTGAATAGTATGTATTATTACCAGCGAGTGTGCTTTTGGACAAAGTAAAGTATGACTCATCGTCAATAATAAATTCATGGTTGCGATATTTGGAATAAAGTCAACCACATTTTTGGCGACCCCAAAGCCTCTGTTCAGGAGTTCTGCATGATCTTTTTTTCTTGTATAACAAAGAATAGGCTTTTTAAAGCATTTTAAGATTCGTTCGATGGTGTTTTTGCTACAACCCAGTCTTCTAGAAGCCTTTGAAAGTGACACACCTCTTCGATTGTTAAACATTTTCCTTAATTTGATGTGGTTGTTTTGTGTATTAAGAGTAAGTCTTCTTCCACTTCCAGCTTTGCAACCCAATGGTTTATTTTGATCGTAACTGTTCATAAATCTATAAATTGTAGCTTTTAAGTAGCCCTCCATCATGAAATAGTTCCGAATAACGTATTTTCCATCTTCATGTTTTTTTATATAAAAATTATACACACGACTTTTTAGGGCTTGTTGGTTTGGCATTTTAAATTGTTATATATACAAAAAATAATCAGAGAATTTATATGCTAATTGAAAGAGGAAAGATAGAGCTTTCATTTGATACCAAAAACTAATTATTTTATCAAGCTTACTAATTAAATATCGCTAATTTAAGTTAGTCTCGAATTTTATGGAACAGGTGTCATATTAAAATAACCGACAAAATATCCCTGGATTAAAAAAAAAAAAAAATCCATTAATTAAAAACGGAGTAGTTAGTCCCTGGCCTTGGCCAGGCCTTAGAGCCAAAATTTGAGGCCTTGCCCTTGAAACTGTTGGCCTTGATTGTTTTGGCCTTGGCCTTAAAAAAAATACATATTTTCTTATTGATTTCGTTGAATTCTGCGCATAACTTTAATCTATTTTTACAAGACGTGGTTTTATTGTCACAGCACTTGCTACTTACAGTTTTGTTATTAATTGGCCATAACGTAAGGCAAAAATTGAAGTGTTCGGTTTTGAAAATATTTGCGTAGGCCTTGGCCTTGACCTTAAAACTCTTGGCCTTGTCTTTTTAACTTTTGGGCTTGGTCTTGGCCTAATAATGTGTGGCCTTAGCCTTGCTACTCTTGGCCTTGTTAACAACTCTGTCTAAAAACAAACTTTAAAAAAAAATATTTTTTTTTAAAGATGTAAAAACGATAAAATAATGGTTGGTAGCAATGCAGTAACGATACTATCAGTAGCGATAAGAATTATATTCTATGAATAATAAATAAAACAATTTTAAACAAAAAATTCCACAAAAGTACTTAAAATATTTATTAAAGATTTTTTCACATATTTTTTAAGCATTCAAACTCTTTTTTATAATAATAATAATTATTATTATTAAAAGTTAGGACACTAATTTTAAATATTATAATTTATTTTTATTACAATAGTTTATTAAAAAGAAACTATGCATCTAAATATGAAATAAAAAGATTAATTTGATTCATTAGATAATATAAACTAAAATATAAACATGATAACATACAAACAACATACTGATGTATATGATAGCATCAACTAATGTTGATAACAATAGCATAATAGTCGCCATTCATAAGTAAAATGAGGTACGCGAAAGCTTGATGACGTACATAATGTCGTCATCGAAAATATACTAGTTAAAACTAAAACAATGATATACTTTATTCCTCATCAGAAAGATCAACGTTAAGAGATTTATGATTCTTAGTGGAGTCAGGCATTAGCATATTAATACCACTATCAATAGTTTCGTCATCATCGTCGTCTGATGAATCACCTGCCGTTGTATCGCCAAGCTCGCGTAAACGTATCTGTCAAAAAATAGCAATAAAAACTATTATCAACTAAGAACTAGATACTGTACGATACGAGTAATTATGGAAAGAAAAGTGTTTAATAAGTGTGAGTAAAGAAATTAGTAGCTATATACTATGTAAATATAAACTAAGTAAATATATACTAAGTAAATTACTAGTAGTAATAATATAAGTAAAGAAATTATTATACTATTATTATAAAAAAGTATTACTTAGTAGTAATATAATAAGTAAGAAATATACTAGTAGCCTCTCGTCTACGATTAGGAAATATACGTTATATTACACAATATACGTATATTATACAAGGGAAAATAATAAAAAAAAGAATATGAATAAATAAAACAAATACAAATAAAAAAAAAAATGTACAAATAAAAATTGTATGACCAGTTTAATTACCTTGTACTTTTTAATCTTTGCATCCTGATCTTCAAGTAACACCAATAAATCTTCGTAGTCTTGCCTTTGCTGCGCGTAATCAGAGGTTTTAGCTTCAAGTTTTAATCGCAGATCTTGGATTTCATTATTATTCTACGGATTAAATTAATGATTATTTACTTCTCTCCTCAGTTATTGGTTATTATTAGCTAATTATAAAGTTATTTATATATAAACAGAGTTAACAATAAATACATATATATACACGAATACATATGTCTGTATATATATATATATATATATATATATATATATATATATATATATATATATATATATACATACACACATACACACACATACCGGAGTGGTTTCCTTCCTTGCGCATTCTGTCTTCAAAAGATTATTTTCCTCAACAAGACTTGCAATTTGTTTATTTAGCAATGTAACTGAGTTTTCCTCAGCAGCTTGCTTGTTTGTGGTTATTGCCTCTAATGATGCTTGCATAATAGAGAGTGATAGTTGCTGAAATTTCAAAGATCAAAAAATTTTAAATAAATCTTAAAGTATACTTAATTACCACTCTAGAGCTTTTAAACAAATAAGCAACCTTTTTTCAGAAATATTTTTTTAACAACCAGATTCCAACGATTGAATGTATTCTGGTCAAAATTCTTCTTTAATAAACTATATAAATTTATAGGAACAGAGCAATTAAAAGGAACGAATGACGCAACATTTACTAAGTTTAATTAAATTTCCAAGAACTCCATTTTGGTCAAACAAAATTTAGAAACAAACACTCCACTTTGATTGAACAAAAGTTAGAAACAAAAAAAGACACTTTAACAAGAGCCAAAATCCGGCTCTGAATTAAAAGTCTCTTGAAATACTTCTTGCATGCAAAAAGTATTGAGAGATATTAAAATATTAAAACACATTTCAAAAACAAGAAGCAAATATCTAAACAGCTACTACAATAAACAACTTATGATTTTTGTGCGCTTTAACTTTTAAAGCGAGCGAAAAGAAGGATGAAACTAAACTTGAAAAAAACAAAAAAAAAACAAAAAAAAAACAAAAAAAAAACAAAAAAAAAGACATAAAACAGTTTCTGCATAAGTCGAAATTGTTATTTCTATTGTCTTCATATCACCATTTAATCCTTAAAAGTGCTCGGTTCTTACAAACTTAAAATTTTGATTTTCAATTCAAAAAAATAATAATATCAAATTACAAGAATGTAGTCAAAAAAATAAAAAAATAAACGTACTAATTTTTCCATTTGTTGTTTTAGATTTGAATTTTCTGCTTCTAATAAACTGACTTTAATGGATAGATCTTCAGATTCAGATTCAACATGACCATTATGAAGAGGAGCAGCAACATTGGCTGGCAATGAATGAG